GGCGAGCACGGTCCCAGAACGGCGCATGACGCATGCGCAGCACTAGAGCGCTCGGCTTGGGTCGGAAGAGTCCAAGCGTGAAGGGAGCAGGCTGTAGATTAAGATATTTTTTCTTTCTGCAGTAAGGAAATGGCTCTTATTCTTTTTCTCTCCAATTGTATCTTAATTTTAATTTAAAATTTGAGGCTGATGTTTGGCTTTTTAGGGAGCGAGAAAGAGCCTAGAGTGTTAGCAAGCTCTTCTTTGTTCTTCAGCACCCCTGCGGGGGGCGGTGAGTTGAACGATCCCAGGTCAAGGCGCGCGGGGGCGGAAGCGGCCGCGGCTGCGACCGCGACGGCTGTCAGAGCTGCTGAGTGGCCGGGCGGCGGTGCCATGGAGCGTCAGCGCTGGCTGCCGCTGGAGGCCAATCCAGAGGTGAGGGCGGCTCTGATCTCGGCCTGGGGCCGCAGGCAGGGGCAAAGGGAACCGGGCTGCCGCAGCTGGTCTAGGGCAGGTTGTCTCTAAATCGTGTTCTCTGTTTTCGTTCCCAGGTCACCAACCAGGTGAGTGAGGTATCTTGTCGCTCGGGACCCTGGAATCCTCCCTGGCCGTCCTACAGCTCCACGCTCCCTAAGAGTTTGCGATTTAATTCCGTGAGGGTTCCTGTTGCGAGTGCTCCCATTTTAGGGCCATCTCTCTCCCACCTGGTTCCTGAAGATGCTCCCAGCTGTCTTAGCCTTTCATCTGGTCTCATTCCCCTATCATCACATTTCTTGGGGTTTCGGGGTTTGAAGGATTTCACTCTCTATTCCTGTTCCTCACTCCCTCTTCGTTTTGCTTCCTGCTCGACCCAATTCCATAATTTTCCCACCCCTGTACCTCCTTGGTGACTAATTTGCCTACACTACCTGACTCCAAGCTTTGTAAACTCGCCCACCCAGTCCTTGTAATTTCATCCACCGCCTGCACTATGAAATCATCTTCCAATCATCTCTTTCCCCATCAAGTCACTTCTCTTCCCTGCCACGCCCCCCTTCTCTTCCAGTTTCTTAAAACTGGAATTTAGCTGCTTTTATACCATAGAAAGCTCAGTATAATAGTTACACTATTCTTTGCCACATACAGCCCTTAAAGTTTGGGTGTTAGAGGTTTCAGTTTGGGGAGGGAAGAGGGAACATCTCCCAGTCACTCGGTTAAAAGAACATTGAGTACTACCAGGTAAAAACCTTTGATTTGCTCGGGTGTATTTTGTCTTACAGTCTCAACAGCTAGTTTACTTTTTACTGCCCTCTTAGTTTATTTTATAATATACTTTTCCCCCGATGATCTTCCTTCCCATCACGAAAGAATAATGTTATTCATCGTGTACTTAATTAGCTTTTGGTTTTCAAAGCTTGTAGAAAATTCCACATATAAGGAAAGCAGATAGAAATATTTGAATGTTGGCAACAAACCATGTGTTCTTATTTAGGTTTATTATACACTTTTGAAATGACTGCTATTCCCCCCAGCTATCTCTTTAGTCACCAAAAAAAAAAAAAAAAATCTATAAAAAGCTCAAAACCTAGCATATTTCTTTTATATTATTATGGTGGCATTTCCTATTTATGTTAATTTTCTTTTGTTTTACTCTCTTTGAAATTTACTGTTCATTTTTTCCCTAACACATTTTGACCACTTTGTAAAGTAAGAATAATCTTCAGGCTGACGAAGTCAATATTTGCAACTTCTGATTTAATGCCATCGGAAAGAAGTATGTTTTGCTCAGACTTAATTTAGAACTATTTTTAAACCCTTCGTGAAAATCAATTTGCCACATAACTGAAGCGTGTTCGGTTGCATTGATCTATGTGTCTGTTGTTTCTACTGTAGTTTTATAGTAAGTTTTGAAATTAAATAGGATGTATCTCAACTTCGTTTTTACTTTTCAAAATTGTTTAGGCTATTTTAGTTGCCTTTCTATATAACTTTTAAATAAGCTTGGCAATTTCTACAAAAAGTTCTATTGTGATTTTGATGGTGAGTGGGTGCCTAAATTGATAGCATTTTGGGGAAAAATAAACATCTTAACAATATTGAGTCTTGAAATCCATGAAGATGGTATATCTCATCATTGACTTTGATTTATTTCAATAGTGTTTTCATAGTTTCACCATGTAGATCTTGCACATATTTTGTTAAATTTATACCTAAGTGTTTAGTGATTTTTGGTGCTATTTATAAAAGATACTGTTTTAAAATTTTAATTTTTAATTGTTCGTTGCTATGTATAGAAATACCATTTTTTTGTATGTTGACTTTGTATCCTGCTGCCTTGCTAAATTCACTTATTCTAATGGCTTGGGATTTTCTATATAGACAATCATATTCTCTGAATAGAATTTTATTTCTCCCTTTTAAATCTGTATGTCTTTTATTTATTTTTCTTGTTGCACTAGTTAGGACCTTCAATACAACATTGACTAGGAGGGAGATGACTTGTTCCAGTTGTTCAGGGGGAAACATTTGATTTTTCATCACTAGAGATGTTAGTTTTAGGGATTTAGTAGATGCTATTTATCAACTTAAGAAGTTCCCTTCTTATCCTAGTTTGATGAGAGTTTTTATCATTTATCAATGTTGAATTTTCTCAGGTGACTTTTCTGCACCTTTGAAATAATCATTTAAGGGAGAAATAATATCATTTCTACATAAACATAGAAGAAGGGAGAGACACTTCTCAACTCATTTTATGGCCAGCATTACCAAACAAACTATAATAACAAAAACCAAAGACCAATATCTCTCAGGAACACAGATGTAAAAATCCTCAACAAAGTAATAGCAAAGAGAATGCAGCAATATATAAAAAGGATAATATATTATGACCAATTTTATTCCAGTATTGTGAAACTGGTTTACCATTCAAAAGTCAGTCATTGTAATTACCTATATGAACAGACTAAAGAACAGAACTACTTTTAGATGATATTATTTGTTTTAATAAGACATAAGGTTATAATACTGGAAACATTTCTGTGATTCAGCTATTTTTGGTCCTTGTTCCTAGGTACTTTTTTAAACTGTAAAGACCATTCACTTAATTCACATTAATTAAATAATATTTGGAGGCATCTTTTTTAATACCATATTTTGGTGATTAAAACATTCATGCTTTTCTGCTTTTCAGTCCAGTGGTAAGAGATAGACAATAAACAAGCAAGCAGACAGATAACTAGCAATTGTCACATGTGCAGTGAAAAAAATTAACAAGGTACTGTAATGGAGACCATCAGGGAAAACAACAGATTGGATGGTGGCAGGAGGTTATTCTGAGGTGACATAAACAGAGAAGAGATGTTATTAATGTATGATTGTATACTATTTATGGCATACTTTGTTGTGATTCAGTTTATTTAAAAATAATTTCTAAAAGAACTGAATGAGCAAAATCTATGAAGTGATTATTCTTAACAAAAATTTTTGTGGTTGTTTCTTTATTCTCTATGTGTCAGTGACAGAACTGAGACTAGAAAATAAATAGAAATTTAATTAACTGACTTAGAATTTGGATAATTAATAAAATTAAGCCACAGATAAACACCAGCAACAGTATCCATCTCCACCTTCTCTTATTTCCTCAAGTTAATGCAATGGTAGTAGGCCTTTAACTTAACTTGATTTCACAATGCCCATTTGGTAGTCGCATATGTTATTGTACATTTAGTTTGAGCAAATACTATTTTTGCTCTAATGATACCTACTTTGTATAAGAATGATCAATGCATGTCTACTACATGCAGATCGTTAACTGTTGGACATTAACTAGTAACTGTGTCTCAGTAGATGTGGCAAGCAATGATTTCTTTTGTTGGTTACTATGCTGTCAATCCCTTCTAAGGATATTTTGCCATGCTACAGGTAGGACTTACCTAGAATAAAATCAATTAAGTGATAGAAAAAAATTTATTTAAAAATTTTAAGCTCTTTTATTTATAAATACATTTAAAGGAGTAATGGCTTATAGCTGATGGAAAGTTACAGACAATTAAGCATCAAGAATTATAACTTTTAAAAAAGTACAGTCTGTGACATGGGCAATCATAGCATTTCTTTTTATGACTGCACTAGATTTTCATCCTGATTATGTTTTGTGATTTGAGTACAGCACAACCATATTATGTATATTTTAAATATTGTTGTGTTTTAGAACCAATAATTTTTGTTATGGAAGTCCCCTAGAAATATCCCTAATTGTGATTTTATCGATGTGACAAAATATATTCTAGCATTATATATAATGTCCAAAGGGAAATACATTTACTATAACATAACTATCGTATTTAGCTTAGATGCTTAGAGTTAGAAAAAGAATTAGAGATCATCTTCTGGATTATTGAAATAAACATACAAAAATTCTCTAGTTAGTGAATCCCATCTTAGGAAAAACACCCTGTTACCTTGTCCTCTTCTAGCTACTGTCTCATATCTGTTTCCATTCTTTGTAAATTTTTCAAAAAGAATTGTCCGTAGGAGCTGTTGCTACTTTCTCTCCATTTTTTTTGTATTCACGTCTATTTAGTTTGCTTTTAGCCTTACCATTTCATAATAACAACTTTTGTCAAGTTTACTAGTCACCACTTTGCCAGATTCATTGGTCACTTTGTCATATTTCTTGACCTCTCAGCAACATTTGGTAGGGTAGCCCACCCCTCCTTAAAACGTTATCTTTTCTTAGCTCCTATGATAATTCTGGCTTTTTACCTTTATCTCTGACTGCTTCCTTGATTCGCCTTTGCTGGATCATCTCCCTCCCAACTTCTAAGGAGTTCCTCAGAGCTTTGTCCTTGACTGCTAATCCTTTTTATGTGCATTCTCTCCCAAGTGTTTTCTGTTGTATAGCATTAATACTATCAGTTGTCATATATTTGATCCCATGTTCCTCTAAGCCCTGACTTCTCCACCAAATTGGAAATCTGTGTATTCCATTACTTCTTTGATATTTCTGTTTGGATGTCTTAGAGATACCTCAAACTTAAAATGACTGAAAAAGAAATCTGGATTTACATTCTTTCATCTCTTCTCCAAATGCATTTCTTCCTCAGTCTTCCAAGAGCAGTGCCATTTATCCAATGCCCAAGTCAATGTCATTGATTCTTCTTTACAACTATGCTACTTTGGAGAGGATATACTGTATTGCTTTGATTTCCAGGGTTTGTATTTCTGCTCTGAGACTATGGGCGGTTACCAACTCTTTGTATCTCAGGTTTTTGCTATCTCTCCTCATCTTGTAAAATGGTTAAAGGATAAAATAAATTACTACATGTAAAGTATGTAGAACAATGTCTAGAACAAAGTATGCACTCTGTGAGTGTTAGCTTTTAAAAATATTCTTCTTTTACCTTAATTCCTCAGATCCAATTGATCTGAAACTCTTGTAGTCTTTTCTTTTAAATTCTATTCCAAATCTGGCCATTCTCTCCATTTCTACTATTACAAGAAAAAAAAAAATTTACTTTCCTGCAACTTCCTCCAGTTGCCCATCTCTTCTCCCTTTGAAACTATACAGAGTAAATCTAAGTGTTCTTCCGTGATATTACTAAGAATATTTCGGGATAGGATAATTATAATTTAGTGTCTGAAAATGTCCAGATGCTCCATTTGTGATGTCTTCTAAAAACCTTATCGTTCCTCCTCATCTTCCTTTGTGCTTGCTTTTGTTTATCTTGTCCTTCATAAAATATGCTTCCCAGAGCTGATATCATAATCTTCTGTGAATGATCTGTGTTGAATATAGTGGGTTATTACATTATTCTGACTAATACTTCTTTTAAAGCAGACCTACATTGCATCACTTTTGTTGACAATTGTGTATCAGTCCATACTGAGCTTGCAGTAAACTCCCTGTTTTTCTTAATCCCTGCATAAAATGTTTTTATATTTCCCCATTTTATATTTACGTTATTTCATTTTTGTTTATCTTTTCAACTAAATTTCTATTAAAATTCATTTTCTAGTTTCCAGGCTTTAAAAACTGTCCTTTTCTCATTTAACTATAAGCTATTCTCCTAGTTTTGCATCTCGCAATTAGTACTAGTATACTTTTAATAGTAATAATATCAAGCAATTACTAAATAAATATAATTTCTGTCATAACTCAGGTCACTAATAAAGTAGCAACAAGGCAGAATCTATTGTAAAATAGTAACAAAGCAGAATCTATTGCTGCCCTGAGCAGGCCATTAAGAGAAAGTGGCTTTTTCATCCCACCCCAACTCCCACCCCACCCCATCCCCCAGCGCCACTCCCGCTGCTTTCTGCTAAGCCAGCCCCACCTTAGTCTCCTTCTAGCCGCCATCATGATCATCTACAGGGAACTTATCAGTCATGATGAGATGTTCTGTGACATCTACAAGATCCAGGAGATCATGGGCTGTGCCTGGAGGTGGAGGGGAAGATGTCAGTAGGACCAAAGGTAACACTGATGACTCACTCATTGGTGGAAATGCCTCTGCTGAAGGCCCCGAGGATGAAGGTACCTACAGCGTAGTAATCACTGGCGTTGATATTGTTATGGACTATCATTTGTAGTAAAACAGCTTCATAAAAGAAGCCGCTTCATCAAAGATTACATGCAATCAATCAAGGTGGAAACTTGAAGACCAGAAAGAGTAAAACCCTTTTATGACAAGGGCTGCAGAACAAATCAAGCATATATATCCTTGCCAGTTTCAAAAACTATCAGTTCTTTATTGGTGAAAACATCAATCCAGAAGGCATGGTTGCTCTGTTGGACAACTGTGAGGACTATGTGACCCCGTATATGATTTTCTTCAAGGATGGTTTAGAAATGGAAAAATGTTTACAAATTTGGCAATATGGCTCAATCACCTGTCATCATTATAAGTGGCTGCTGCTTTTTATCCACACACCTGGACTTGGACAAATGGGACTGATGTTATCTTGAGCTCTTATTAGAGAACAAGGTACAAAAAAAATAATAGGTCATATGTGACCCCGTATATGATTTTCTTCAAGGATGGTTTAGAAATGGAAAAATGTTTACAAATTTGGCAATATGGCTCAATCACCTGTCATCATTATAAGTGGCTGCTGCTTTTTATCCACACACCTGGACTTGGACAAATGGGACTGATGTTATCTTGAGCTCTTATTAGAGAACAAGGTACAAAAAAAATAATACTTTAAGCAGTGAGAGATGAGGCTGGAAAAGTAAACAGGTACCAGAATATTCAGAGCTTCGCATATGGGTTCTGGTACTGTGACCTTGAAAAATTACATAACCTTCCAGACTTGGTTTTCTCGTTGGTGAAGGATATAATAAAATCTACCTTGCCAGTTGTAGTAAAGGAGAAGTGCATTAAAGCTACTCACCTAATTTCTGATACGTGATACTCTGAAAAGTATTTATAAATAGTTTAAAATATTCTTAATTCAGTGGAAAATTTATCATTGGGCCATTGAATGAAAAGGATAAGTTGATCTAAGATCTTTTGGGAGCACGTATTCTAATTTACCAATTATTTTTCTTGATTGGACAGAATTTTAGAGGCACTATGAAAATTTAGTGACTTATATCAGTCAGAATTTTTTTGTTATTTTATCACCCAGTGTTTAGAAAGGCCAGAAACTGGTATTAGGGCTTATCAGTCTCTTTATTCTTCTTGATGCAGAAAGGTTGCTTCTAATTGTGTACAGCTGGCTTTGCGAATACTTTTCTTTGTGAATAGTCTAGAGAGTTTTTATTTTTTGGTGTAGTTTTAAGACTTATTTTGGGTTTTCTCCTAGATTTCAAAATTTAAATAAAATACACATGTGTATTAGTTATACAGATTTGAAACTTAGAAACTACGTATAACTATTATAACAATAACACTTTTTTAAAATACTGGAAAATAAAAAGTTGAGTTCACACCACTCAAGCTAATGGCTGTTAATATTTTAGAAAATTTCCTTCTAATCTTTTTTATAAATGATCATCAAAGCCACAGGTGGTTTTTTAAAATTTATAAAAGTAGGACACCGTCATGATTTAAAAAAAGTGAGAGGTAAAAGTTGAAGACCTTCTTTGCCACCCTTTCTCCACTTCCCAGAGGTAGCTACTATTAATAGCTGCTTTTATTCTTTTTATTCATCTAATGACTTCCTGTGTGAGTCTGACTCATAACAATCTGGAGTCAGAGGATGCAACCAATGTACTTAATAGATATTAGTTTAAACTTTATAGTAATGTCATTTGATTGCCAATATGAGTCAATAATTAAGGAAACGTATGATTCCATTTAAAATTTATTCAATTTATATTTAATTTAATCTGTATTTAGTCATTGATTGTGTCCTCAGTTTGATACTAATCAGTCTCACTACAAATGCTACCTTTGGAGCTTGGTACTTTTTATACTTGTTAGCTTTGGCTTACATGGAGTAAATTTATATTTTTTACTTCAAAGTAACTTACCAATTTTGTCCTGTTTTTTCACTAAAATGTTTAACTTACTTTCAGTTTGTGGTGGAGATGTAAAATTACTCTTTTATGTGTACCTATCTTGTTTTATAACTATAACAATATGGCTTTTGGGAGTAATTAAAATGAACATAAATCCTTTATGAGGGTTTATGAAACTTTTCCTTGACAGTACACCTTTTAGGGCTCTCAGTCCTGTGCAGGTAGTATTCGGAGTTGATTAAATGAATGGCTGGGTTTAGATTAGTAGCAAAATATATCTTTCCTACCTCTTTAACTTGGCACGAATAAAAAATATATATTGAATATTCATTATAAGCATAGCTTAATGAACATATGTAGACATACAGATGGCTAGATTATCTGTTAAAATAGAGATGTAATCTTTATTTCAGTTCAGCAAATATAACTTGAGTGTCTGTGGTTTGGCCTGCTACAGGGCAAAGCAATGGGATTAAAAAGACGAATAAGAAACAGTTCTTTTCCTTAACTTTGCAATAAATTTTAACCATTTTTGCTTTCTAACTAGAACTGAATATTGAGACGAGCATAGACTAAGGATTTTGGTGAAAGTGAAGAAGGGCGAGGGAACTAGTTTGGAGTGCTTTATTGAACTTTACCAAAGTCTGGAATCATGAATAGGAATCAAATGAAGAATAGGTATAGTATAGAGGAGTCCATCGATTTCTGTGGCCCAGACTGTTGAAGAGCATGTGACTTGATGAACCTGATAGATGTTGAGCACGTATTGCCAAGAGAAGTTTTTTAATTCAATAGATTTCTTATTAAACATATCTAGGACCTTATTTTTGACCAGCCATGTTATCGTTAAGTAGAGTTTCTTCTATTGGCAGAGGAATGGAGGGATATTCCCATTAAACAGGAATGTCTTGTGTTATAGAACCTGTATGTGAGATGAATAACACTGTTTATGTAACATGGCATGGTTTTGATTGGTTTTGTAAGAACTCATCTGATGATCTAAGAACATGTGCCAATTCTTCAGGAAGAAATAACCAACGCACCTTTTCATTTTTAAATTTCAAATGTTAGACCGGTAGATACTATAATGTATTTTTGAGGTTAGGTATAATGATGCATTTTTAATATGGTTTTTTTGGTTGCTCCTTTTTTTCTATTTGAAACTTCTTTTGTGATGGTACACTTTAAAAATCATCAGCTTCATTCAGTACAGACATTTAAGCATTTATTGTGAAATTGATGTCATTCTTATTAGTATTTTATTTTTTCTCTCTCTCTGCAATAGATTAGAGTCTGACATTTTATTTTCTTATGAAATCTTAAGAGTTTCAGAAACCACTGTTGTGTTGCCACATATAATAAAGACAATGAAGTTGAAGAGGTTTCATTGTGTAAAAGGGGAAGCCAGTAGCTTACATATTTCAAGCCTTCTCTAGTGTTCACATAGTCATGTGGACTTTTTTGTCTTTATATACTCTGTGCTCATTGATATAATTTGTGATGTCTGTCTGTCTATCTTTAAACCTCAGGCATGATTTTTGGTAAGGAAGATAAACTGTGTTGATTTTCTACTAAAATAATTATTTATTTACCAGAATTTAGATGCATCTTATTAAGAATTGGGTGCTGGAAATGAGTTTGACATATCAGTCAGGCCAATTTGTATGGGTTTGGTGAAGGCTTATGTTGAATCCCAAAGTAATGGATTTTGAAAAAAGGAGTTTTGCTTAATATGTAATAAATTTTAAATGTTTGTTAATTGACGTAAATAAATTTATTTCTACCCTATTTATGGAAACCTGCTTGCTTTACTTTATACTTATTGAGCATCAATAATATTTGTACCTTGCATTCCCTTATATGTATTTGGTATATAGTACTTACATGTTAATTATTTTCCAGTTAACACTATATATATTTTCTCTCCTCTTACCAGTTTCTCAAACAATTAGGTCTGCATCCTAACTGGCAATTTGTTGATGTGTATGGAATGGATCCTGAACTCCTTAGTATGGTACCAAGACCAGTGTGTGCAGTGTTACTTCTCTTCCCTATTACAGAAAAGGTAATTGTTAAGTAAGATACAAAGTTTCTGGTAAATGCAAAGTTCTCTTTTAATGTTCGATTAAAAATAATGCATTTTCTTGAAGATCAAATTACTACCTTCTTGCACAAAAAGGAAATCTAAGCAGTGGAGACACCTTAAAAATCTAGTTTTATTAAAGAAGTTATATTTAGTTTTTGATGTATAGATTGACAAAAAAGCCCTGAGTTAGTTTCTTAAACTTGAGTGGTTTTCTTTTAGAAAATATGGTTAGTTTACCTCACTGTGTTTTGATACGAGGAAGTGGGTTAACTATTTTCAGAATAGATTTGATCTGGGTGGAAATCACTAAGATTAAGTACAGTTTAATTGGCAGATTTAGGATGTGTTGGGGATTATATTTAGCTATTATTAGATTTCTATTTAAATTCAATCACCATATTTCAGGCTTTTCTTCTAGAATGATGTCATGGAACTAGAACTTTTAAGTTCATTTTAATACAACTTGTGAGACCATATCCTTCTAATTTTTATTTTTAAACTTAGAAACAATAGGATGAACTCAGTGCTTGTGAAAAATGAAGACGTAAATGGGAAAATGTGGGAGAAATGAGGTGTTGATGACTTGGTATGTACATGTTTATGTCATCCATTTCAGTAATAAATGGAGCCAAGTCTCATGGAAATTAATAATTAAGTTCTATTCAGTCCTAGAAATTCCTGGATAGCTTTTTTTATACCAAAACAAAATAACTTCAGTTTAAGATGAAATAAAAAGTACTGAAGTATTTCTTCCTTCAACGTAAGGGTGCTACAAAACAAATTAATTTAAGAAGGGCTATTTCTTCATATTTGCTGTTTGTAATATTCATAGAAATTTAGAGTTAGAAATTTCTTGTGATTATCCAGTATTAGACTAAACTTCTACTTTTAGTGATGAGGTTGTAATTATTCTGGAAATTGAGGTAGAGTTAGGACACTAAAGTTGACGCTCCTTTTGTCTAGTGTTATTTTCACCTCTTTTGACTACTATAAGCCAATAGGTAGCTATCCTGAGACCTCAATTGTAAGGAGCAGTAAAAAACAAAAAAAAAACTGCTTAAAGCTTAGCCTTTCTTAGTTGGTGTCACACAAATGTGAGTTTATTGTCTGAATTGGAAATTTTCCAAACTGTTGACTTTTATGACCTACTTTTTTTTTTTTTAATAGAATAAGTGGGACTTGATCTTTATGTAGTTGCTCATCAGTATTTTAAAAAAGCATATTATCCTTATCAATAAGATCATTAGTACTGAAAAGCTTATTGTGCCTATTGCTAGAAAGAATAGAATTCTAAAGTATATAAATAACATATAAATTCTTACTGACAAAAGTGACATCTGCCACTTTTTCATGTCTTGTACAATTTGGTAGATCCCCTTTTCAGCTCATAAGTGACAAATTAAAGTCACTCAAAAGTTATCTAGTGGATGTTTTAGATGATACGAAGTGTTTGTTCTAATTTAGGAACTGAGTATGTAGTTGTAAATGGTTTAAGCATACTAATTACAAAAGACCTTTCATGGATACCATATTACCCTTTAAATAGTCAATTCCAGATTTTAAATTTGTGCTTTATATAGTAGTGCTTACCAGCCAGTGAATCATAGATGAAGAGGCTATAAATTATTTACTTATGATATTTTTGTTGTCTCCTGACCATGTGTTTTCACTTTGGTCTGCCATAATCACTTTTCTTTTTTCCTATACTTGCTCTATATCATTTTAGGATTTTTTTCTAAGCATTAAATCTTGCGAAGTTGGTAAATCTCATTTTGCTTTATTAGCAAGGACCTTTGATATTAAACAAGAAACAACTGTAGAACCATATAAATATATCAGTATAAGACCTTACTATATTGAATCTTTCACAGTTTTTATCAGCTGAACTTATATGAATGAAATAATGGTTCAGAATTTATCATGAAAATGTTACTTAAAATTTAATTTAGAAGTACATTCATAAAACTATTTTAAAGCATAGATACATTTCTTCTTAGAAGCATCTTCTTAACTTTTGGTTTTCATAGACATTATTTGTTTGCTTTATTGCAAGGATCAGCAAACTTCTTCTGTAAAGGGCCAGATAATAAATATTTTGAACTTTGCAGGACTTAACAGTCTCTGTTACAACTATTCATCTTTGCCTTCTAGCATGAAAACAGCCATAGACAATACAAAAATGAAAGTTTACTGGGCCAGATTTGGCCTGTGGGCTGTAGTTTGCTGACTCCCTACTCTATTGGAATCTGAAAATTATTTTTTAAAAAATAGACAAAACAATAAAATCATCTTTCTATTCTCCCTCTCCTCCGCACTCATTTTTAAAACCTCTTTATTATTTTTAACCCCTTTTTACAAATGAGGCACAGAGACATTAAATAACTTGCCAAAGTCACACAGCTAATAATGTCAAAGCCAGGATATGGGCTCAGCCAGTCAGATGTGGAGCCCACACTTTTGACATTTGTCATTATTCCATATTGCTTTTACAACCAGTTATTATAGATAATGGTGAATATTATAAGCATATAAATATAGTATAAATTTTGTTATTATAGTATGATTTAATACCATAGAAATGTAAAATATAGAAAGTAAAAATCTCCTAGTCATCTCTCATCCCAGAGATAACCTCTTTTAAGTTTTTGTATACCCTTTCAAATTTTTTCAGTGTATATGTAAATACTTTAAATACATAAATGAGAATTATATTAATGTATATTGACCTAAAAGCACACTATAATCATAGGTAAAAGTTCTAAGTCAGAATATGTAAATCTTTGTTCTTTTAAAAATGCTTTATAGTATTCCATTAAGAATGCTATAACATGTTACCCAAATCTCCATTGATGGATATTTAGAATTTTTGAAGTCTTTTTTAATGTATTATTTTCATGTGTAGACTATTCACTTTTTTTTTTTAATAGTATGAAATATTCAGAACAGAAGAAGAGGAAAAAATAAAATCTCAGGGACAAGATGTTACATCGTCAGTATATTTCATGAAGCAAACGATCAGCAATGCCTGTGGAACAATCGGACTGATCCATGCTATTGCCAACAATAAAGACAAGATGCACTTTGGTAAGTTTTCATTACTGCTGTTTTCTCTCCCCTTAAGTGACAAGTTAACTTACTGAGCGCTAGGTGGTGCTCTAGTTCTTTCTTTCAAAGTATTAAATAAAGCATTTCCTTCTCCCATCTTTATTTTATAATTGGATATATATATGTGTGTATGTGTGTGTGTGTGTGTGTTTTTATATATATATATATATATATATTTTTTTTTAGAAGAAATAGTAATCATTCCATTCTTTTCTGCTGTTGATAAACAGAGATTTAATAAACAAAAAAATAACTTAAGCCCTATCATTTGTCCCAATATTCTTTATATTCCTAATTTACCAGTTGGTTTATATTCTTTATATTCCTAATTTACCAGAAAGATTTCACCTGAAAAATAGGTAGCATGCTTCTAGTGTTTTCATATATTATTCTCTTTGTGATATCAAGCCCTTTCAATTTTATCTTTAATATTCTCAGAATCCGGATCAACCTTGAAAAAATTCCTGGAGGAGTCTGTGTCGATGAGCCCTGAAGAACGAGCCAGATACCTGGAGAACTATGACGTCGGTACCTTCTTTCTCTCTTGATCTCGTATGTGGGCAAAGTTTTGTGGAATAGAAGATTCTGCTTGGGGATTTGTCTTGAAATGTAGTTTTAAACAGTTATGGATTTGGTCATATCCATTAAAAAAGGCCTGTTATACTTTTCAGGTAACATTTATAAATTGCTACTTCTTTTTTACGTCCAGAGCTGAATGAGAGGAGAAAAAGCAGTTTCATTTATAAAATATCTTATGACTAACTATTCCTTCCTATTCCTTCCCTATAATAAATATATACCTGGCAATACACTATGTATCTTTCACTGGGAATTTGGAGCAAGGCTGAAAACCAGTGGAAAAAACAAAGGGTTAAAGGTAGATTAGACCACACTCTAGCTCTTTTATCAGTGTCATATTTTTGCATGTGTGAAGACAGAGGCCACATAATCTAGTTTTAAATGATTATACTGTTTCATAGAATTTTCTTAGAATGGTATTTAAATTTTATTATTTTTGAAACCTCTCTTTATTTTGAAGACTTTTCACCTTTTTAAAATTAATTTTTCAATTATAGTTGACATACAATCTTATAATAAGATTTTTACCTTTTAATAACATTATTAAGAGGATTGTAAATTCTTTGAAATTAGAAGCAGTATAGTGTACAAATTATTTGACTAGAACAATGCCTTATGCAGAGTTTATGCCCAATAAATTTGTTGATTTAATTATGATGTTTTACATTTTAATGTACTTTATTTTAAATTGTTTTTTTCTTTTAAAAACCTGCAGATCTCATAAAATATCTTTATTTTACATAAAAATAGAATAAACAACTTAAAAGTCAACTCACCAGTGAGAGATAGCCACCATTAATATTTTTCATAGGGAGTATATATGTATATACGCAATTTTTTAAAACAAAAATTTGATCACACTGTAATATTGTTTTATGACTTGCTTTTTTCATTTAACTTATCACAAACGTATTACATACCAGTAAGTATATATTTGACATCATCATTTAATGGCTGCATAGCTTTCCATTGTATAGTATTTTATTTAACCAATAAATTGTCATAAATTTAATATTTTTCCTTTTTTCCACTGTTTAAAAAATACTACAGAGTATAACATAGTAGCTAAATCCTTGCAAATATCCTTACTTATATATTCTTATGTACAATTATATGTAAATATATAAATTTCTAGAAGATAAATTGCTAGATCGAACACTTTGCATGTTTTTAAGGCTTTTATTCTTATTGCCAAATTGCCATTCATAAAGGTTGTACTTCCACCTGTAATTTACTACTTTGCCCATTTCTCTTCATCTTTGCTAATGGTGGGTATTATAAGAGCATTTTTTTTAAGTTCAGGAAACTAAAATCCCTAGCTTCTGATAAATGCATGCTTTTTGCTCCATATTTCTAAACTGCTGATTGAAACTGCATGATTAAGCATAAGTCCAGCCAGAGCTGCAGAGGAGCATGTAACCTGGAGAAACAGATGAGCTAAACTTCTTCAGTCTCTGTCTGTGAGATACTTACTTTATTCTAGTCTCAGTTGAATAAAGTGTTAAATGTAAGTTCTAATAGCTAAATAAGTTAAATGAGTCCTACTTATACCTGGAAATTACAAGTAATCCAATATCCAGTTTCCTAACTTCAGAGATTTGTGGGTGAGAAAATACAGCAATTCATTTAGTTACTCAAATCATTCTTAAATATTTAGTATTAAACTTTTCCTAAATATTCTCCAATTTGTTGTTTCTTATAAGGCTTTAGATGTTAAAATTTAGCATTGTTGCTTTAGTTAAAAAGTAGGTTACAGTCATTTTTTTCCTATTTATAATTTGTATTCTTATTACAGGCTATTCGAGTTACTCATGAGACCAGCGCCCATGAAGGTCAGACCGAGGTATTTCACACTTTTCAAAACATTTCTTGCCATGTGTAAGTTAATCATAGCATTATTGTATGACATGTAGTTTTAGAAAATTATTTAAACTTTTTTTTTCCTCTGAAGGAATTTGCTCATGTAAAAGTAGTCGCGAAGTAGCACAAGGGCATGTTTTGACAAATTGTTAACATGCACTTTGATATTGGCCATCTCAGTTTGTCTGATCATTTAGGTAGATTGCAGTGTCTTCCCTATCAGATTCCTTTGACGTGCAAGTATTTTGAGAAAAAATACCTGCACGATAGTACAGGTAGGTAACTATGATCTTCAAGAGTCTTTACCACACTCATCTCCTAGCAAAAAGCAGCATCATTCTCTTTGCTAAGTAAATCTGTTCTGGGGCAGTGTGACGATCTTTATTGTCTTTACTCTGTTTGCTAGTTCTTCAGCTAGGTCGACACTCCTCTCACCTCTTTTTTCATTCTTTTGGTGTCCGTCAATCCCTCCTTCCATTTCTTCTTTCCCCCCAACCTCACTCTCCCACTCTTGAGGAAATTTTGTCAAAATAAATAGAATTATAGTTGTTTGGTATATTTATAATACATTTAAGTGTTAACACCAGAGAAGTATAGATTTTCTTCTTTCTTATCCTGTCTGTGACTCAAGATCATAGTTTTTCATGTAAAAAGGTGATATTGCCTTTATTCTTTAAAATACTTGAAAAATACCTGATTTAAAAATAGTGAACTTAAATATTCCCACTGTCTTCAAAAAATTTTCCTTACAGGGAAAACAGTTTCTTACTATGGTATAACTACAGTTTTTCATAGATCAAACTGGGTAACTTTGAATGTGTATAAACCATATAGAAATTTATACATTAATTCTTCCTAATTATATCATATTGTCTTGGTTTTCTCAGATTCTGCTTTCAGAAATGTGGACCATTTTTTTTTACTGCATTTCCACACACATTTACCCGCATGCGCGCGCACGCATGCACGCACACACGCGCGCGCGCACACACACACACACACACACACACACACACACCTCCTAAGTGGCACCAGATTGGAAATTAATTAATTGCTCTGTTTTTGGAACCATTTTATATAATCCTGAGCATGTTCTTAATCTTTACCATGCTTTGCTTTTTTTGTTTGTAAATTTGTAGTGCTAAAATTAATAATAATTATAAACATGAGATTTAATTATTTGTAATAAAGGAATTAAATCCTTTAATACATGTTTACTTTTTAAAAATTGTCTTCATGACACCCTCTCTTGCCTCCTTTTTGGTGATTTATCTAAATTAAGGCTTTAATACCTCATTTTAGATAACATTCACATCTATTTTTCCAGACCTAAACTCCTTCATTTTTTCTAATCTTAGATGCATGTTAGACATCACCTAAATGACTACCAGTATTTTAGAATGTATTTATTCTTGTTTGAGTTTATTATCTTGAATCTTAAATATTTTTTTTTCCTGTTTCTTATAGTAGTTCCACCATACATTTTCCCCACTATCACTAATCTAATATAAATTTATGTAACTTCTTATGTAGATTCTCACTCTTTAGTCTTTATTCTAATACACATTCGTTTTTACACAGTTCTGCTGGATTACCTTTCCCGAAATCTAACCCGAATCATTTGGCTACTCAAATTTTTCTAGGAGTTCCCTAGTGCATAGGAAACAGTGATTCTCAAGGTGAGATGGAGGTAGAAGTTAGGACTTTCTGGATGGCTTTTTCAAATTGTACACCCACAAAAAATAACCTCTTCTCCTTTTGCGTCTCCCATAGTTGAGAATCACTGTTAGAGTGAGCCATATTTTTTAGGTATGTTACAGTTCTAAATGTATTGGGATGGAAAAAAAAGCATTTGAGAACAGTTCCCCAAGCATATGTAATAAATTTCAGCCTCTTTAGCCTAGCTGTATTCAAGGTTTTCCTACCTCTTGTCCTAATTTATCAAAAGTATTTTCTCTTTAAATATTTCTCTCTAGCCATCCCTCACTTTATTGTTGCTGTGCTTTACCTCTTGAAATTTGCTCATTCTAAAGATAGTCCTTCTCTCGACCTCTGTTCTTCCAAATTCTACCCATCCTTCAAGACTTGGCTGAAATACCAGTCTGTGTCCATATGTGACTGCTACTATTTTCATTTTAGCCATTTATTTTCATATTCTATTTCATTTAGTTAAGATACATATGTTTTCATATTTTAACAGCTCTGAAATAATTAGGATATATCTTACAGTTGATGTTATAATTTACTTGGTTGTGTTCCCTTCTTAGTCGTACATAAAATGACACATAACCAGTGGTGCCTTAGATTTGATGAAATGTGATATATCTCCTTCACTATGGTTCTTAGACACAGGGTTGGTGTCTGATTCATTTGGGCATGCTCCAGAGTATCAACACCATTCTTTGCTCATAGATGCAGTACATATTATTAATTCACCAGAATTCACTCAGAATTATCCTTAGAGATGTAAAAACTACAAAAAAAAAAAAAAAAAAATCCCCTAAATCTTGGTTTTTCATATTCCCACGAATAAACAAAACATATCCATTAGCCATTGTTCCTCAATAGGGCACTATTCACATTTTGTGAAAAGTTCAGTTCTTTGTTGTGTGGGGCTGTTTTGTGCATTCCAGGGTGGAATATGGATCATTATATTCTAGTCATTATATGTTAGTGACTCCCAGTCACTGAGAGAACAAAAACCATACCTTTACGAATCCAGTGTCAATCAGCTTGAATCTCCTGCAGCATGGGCTGTTTTTGTGACCATCTCATTTCCGCTTCCTCCACCGTCTAAGGGCCTCAGTCTTTGACATTAATATTACCTCCATTACTCTCTATATTCTAGCACACCAGTTTTTGTCAGTTCCTACAAATACCTAGGTCTTTACCGTTTGTTTCTACTTACTTTGGCTGCCATAACAAAAACCTCAGGCTGGATGACTTAAACAACAGAAATTTATTTTCTCACAAGTCTAGAGGCTAGAAGTCAATATCAAGGTGACATCGGGGTTGGTTTCTGGTGAGGGCTCTCTTCTTGACTTGTAGACAAGTACTTTCTTACTATGTCCTCACACGGTCTTTTGTCTTTGTACATGGGGGAGAGAGAGAATTCTCTTTTCTTCTGTGTACACCAGTGCCATGAGATTAGGACTCCATCCTTATGACCTCATTTAACCTTAATTACCTCCTTAAAACCCTGTCTCCAAATACAGTCACATTGAGGGTGCAGGCTTCAACACATGAATTTTGGGAGAACACAATTCAGTCTATAATACCATCTTTATGCTTTCTAAGAACCCAGTACTCTTCTGGATGTAGCCCCCCTCTTTTCATATTTGGCACCTTCTCATCCTTTAGATCTTACCTTAAAAGTAATTTTTCTGAGAGGCTTTCTTTTATCACGGTTACCTTATGAATTTTCTGTCATAAAATCGTGTCTATTTTCTTCCTGATGCTTTTTAATAATTTATTAGTTCTTTTCCTTTTTATTTACTCTCTTTATTTACTAGAATATGAGTCCTATGAAGGCATTTTTTTTTTGTCATGTTCTCCTTGGCACCCCAGGACAGTGTTTGGCATATATATTGGCATTTATGAGAAATTGCATAGAATAAAAGCAAGGAACACAGGATGTAGGTTTGTGTACTGACTCCACTACTTAGTAACTTAGGCAAGATGCTTTCCTCAGCATAAAATGAAGATAATAATATGTACCTTATAGGAATGCTGTGAAGATTAATGACTTAATCATATAAAGTATTTAGAATAGTGCCTGGCATATAGTGGGGCTTCGATAAAAATTAGGTGATAACTTTTTTTTTTACTAAGCATTGAGAAAAATGGTAGAGGATGAAGCTGAAGTAATAGGGTGAAGCCAAATAAAGGGGTGGCTTGGATTTTATAGATCATATGGAGCCACCAAAGATTGTGTGTTAACTGTTCAGCATATTGAGTTTAAGGTGAGTTTATGGGTCATCTGTGTAGTATTGGAGTTGGTTATGGAGTCTAAAGCTCTGGGGAGATATCTGTAGTCTTGTGTATTTGATTAGTAGTTATAACCTTGAGATTTCTATAGAGGGAGAGTAGTGGCGGATCACAATAAATCCCTGAGGCATGTAGGGGTTAAGGCAGTGGGTAGAGGAAGAGGAGCCAGTAATAACAACCAGTATAATAGCAATGGCAGTCATCACTGACATCATTGATATTCTCTGTCAGAACATTTTCATGGGAATGGAGTAGTCAGAGCCTTATTGCATTCAGAGATGTGTATACTAAATGAGATCAGTAAGCTGAGCCACCAAAATACAGTAGAAAATACAGGATTTGCTGCAGCCTACTGCTATAGAGTAATTGTTTACTTGTATGTTTTTCCCCATCCTACCATGATTGTTCAGAAATTTGGACAGTAGCCAACCTTTCTTATGCTTCATTAATCTATACTGAAAGTTATTGCTTTCATGTTTCACTTAAGATTGGAAAGATGAAAGAACAGCAATAGGATACGAGGAAATTAAATTATGTGCTTTTTAAATTATGAACAGATATCAGTGATATAATAATGCAAGTCAAATGTGAAGGCAAGGAAAAATATCCAAAAGGGTATTTTATTTGCCTTCAGACTCTTTTACGTAATTGATACTTACCTAAAAAAACAATTTCTAAAGTTTGTGATTTGTCCATATTAATCTAGGACCAACTCAGATATGAATAGAGAGCTCCTGATGATTTATTACTTAACTTTTTATAAAAACAATAAATTTATTATACATACTGCTCAGGACCATCCTTGTAAGTTTATAATAAAAATGAAAAATAATAAAAACTAGCACAATTGTTTTATTTATGTTTTTAAATACACGTGCCAGTATGAAAAATATAGCACAAAATACTTTTAGCATTTACATTTATTTACTTTGAATCTTTTTTAAATTCATTTTTAAACATTGAAATCAATTTTGTGGGATTTTTTTTCTTAATATT